CCCCTGCCATTCTGTGATTCTGTGTGACAGCTGGTGAGGACTGCCTCCGCAGCCAGGTCACGTGCAGGGGACCAAGAGGACCCCATACCATGTGCTTTTGAGAACAGGAAGACGATGATGATCATCATCGCCAATTCCCTGCCTAAACCAGGCTGCAGAACCTCACTCCATGACTCCCGTGTCTCACCTGACAATGCACAGTGGAATATAACAAGTGTAAGACCACTATTTCCAGCCATTTTAGATTGCTCCTGCGAAGCCAGTTTTAGGGTTTGGTGCAATTAGTACCCGTCACAGAAAAGTCACTGCTTCTGCAGGACATCTCGTTACCTTCCTCCTCTCTTCTGCAGCCTCCAGCCTCCTCTGCAGCTCCTCCAGGGACAGGTCCTTCTTCTTAGGGGGGGAGGAAAGGATTGGGCTCTCGGGAGATAAATCTGAAGGGGACTTCAGGATCACTTCGAAGCTCTGGCCTGATGCCCTCTTATCCAGCTGCTTCACCTCCATATCTTTGAGAGGAAAAAAAAAACCAACAGAGGCTCTGTGGACCTGTGACACTCAGGAGAGCGTTCACCTGAGAGCACCGAGCTCTTCACATAGGAATTAGGGTGTTCCCACGTCCTGACCTGGGTGATTTTGTCCTATTTCCAAAATTTCCACACTCCTGATCAGCTTCACACCCCCCCGCCGCCCAAATCAATTTAAATTCACAGCATCATGACAGAAAGGCCGCACTGCTGTCAGCACCCCCGTGTGCCGCCCCAGGCCAAAGCAGCAGGGCCTTGCTGGGAAAATCAGGGTTATGTTAATAAAATAAACTATGAAAGGAGACGAAACAGAAAGACGTGCAGACACGGAGGGCTGCCCCGGGGTCACCAGCCCAGGGCGCCGACGGGCTCCCACGTGGCCAGCAGAAGCGTCGTGGAAATGGTGGGCGCAGGTCACGTACCTCCATACTGGTAGATGGTGTTAGGATGGGGCTGGGTGTGGAAACAGGAGCAGATGAGGGAGAGCAGAGAGAGCTCCTTCATTTTCTCCTTGTAGGCTGGAAAATAAGAAATAGCAATGAGAAGAGAATCTAACAGCAGCGGCAGCTCTGTTTCATGGAGAAAAGAAGCAGGTAGACAGAAGTTAACCCATTTGTAGCTACCGGACTCTACGGAGGCTTTTCCAGGCTGCCATAGCTTGCCAAAAGGTCCCCAAGGAGCATCTGTTCTAGAGCAGACTAAATTAGCTGCCAGTGAAGAGACACAGTACAAATTTACCACATCTAGAGGTACAAGTTTCTCTGCAGGATTTTCTCTCCAAAGGAGCTGAAACGCTGCAGCCCGTGTAGTCAACCACGTCGGGCAGCTGCCCAGACCCTTTCTCCATTCTGCTTCCAGGCTCAGAGGTTCCATGACGCCCATCAACACCCAGAGACGTTGCCCAACCTTGATATTTCACAAATCAGCATTTCTGACAACAAGAGGCAAGCTGCAGTCAGCAATGCGGAGAACAAATGGAGTGAAGAAATGGTTCAGGGTGCTGCTAACGGGGGGAAGGGCTGTAACTCCCCGGGGTGCCGCCTTCCCTGCAGGAGCAGCTGAGGGAGGATGTGAGTGGATTCTGTCATCACCTCGGCCCACGCAGGCGGAGGTTGATACCGGTCTGCAGTCACAGTAAGTGCTGTCCCTGTGAAGGACAGGGAAATACACAATCCCTCCAAGCTCCGCTGCTGGGAGCCCTCCAGTGTGCTCATCACTCCCCTCACTGGAGGACACACCAAGCACCCTTGGGGATTGCACTAATGGCAGCAACGCCCCCCCAGCTCGCAGTGGGTCTGTTTCTGGGGCAATCCTCTCCTGTATTTTTGGGGTTTAGCACATTTAAGAGAGTGAACTGTCAGCACACACTTGACAAAGAACCTCATAAAGTAGAAGGAGCTGAAAGCGGAGAGGTGCTCCAAAGTCCTTTGTCACATCAGCATCACTGCTATGTCGCAGGTCAGCAGCTGATGGCTCAGCAGTGGGTGCTGCTGTCTCACAGATGCTGTGAGGCTCTGCCCTGGACCGGCTGCTCAGGGGACATCCAGGCACATGGGGACAGAGTCTTCATGGCTGTGTGTCCTGCCAAACCTGCCCTGAGCCTCCTTGTGCTGTCCTGCCTCCTGCCTCCACCACAGGGCACAGGCGACCTGATGTGGGCCTTGGCTCTGCCTCTGGATTTCCTTGGGCTTCTGGTCTTGGTTTGTCCCTTCCTTACCGAGCTCCTGTTTTGACCTCCAGCCAGAAGAGGATCTGCAACCTGGCTGCCAATGCCACCTCCATAGCCAGACCCTCCACCGGGCCAGGAAAGGGAAATCCTCAAAACTTTTGTGATATGAAAAGGCATCAGAGGCAGAGAAATTTTGAAAAAAACCCACCCATCCTGTGTACCATATGCCCGCAGGAACACCTTTCAGATCTTCTCTGCTTTCCCACAGATACTCAGGTGGGAAAAGAGTGGTTGCATATGCCTACTTCATACTTGCACTTATTTTTCTTCCTAGGTGTAGAACTTCATCCTAATGAACACCCTCCTTTTGCTAACCAACAGTCACTCAAGCTCAGATCTTTATTGAACGTTTTCTCCACATTCTGATTTTAATACCCTTCCCAGTCCTGTTGCTATATGTAAATAGGAACGGTTTAGATCAGCAGTGCCAGCCGCAGAGCAGGACATCTTTGATTTTGTTTTTAATGAAAAAAGTCTTTGGAAAGCCACGAGTTGTGGCATGCAGCAGCGAGCTAACGTATCTCATAATGTGCTGCCAAGAGCCCCGAGGAGGGCCCCCTGGACCAAATGAGGGACCTTATCAGTTCATGCAAACAAACCACGCACCGAGGCCGTTGCTCCACCGTTATGTCTGCCCTTGGGTGAAACCAAGAGATGAAGCAGATGTGCCCCGCCCCGACCCACTCGTTTAAATGTCCCCTAGCACTTGTGGCAGAGCACCGTGTCATTTCATCACTCGAATTTCGGTGGTTCTGCCCAGTACTGGTTTCTCAGCCCTCTATGTCAATGAGCATATGCTGCAGCCCCCGCCCTTCAGGAAGTCTGTGGTGGGGATTTCCTGTGGGGGATCTCAGCTGGACTGAGGC